AGAAATCGTGGAATACTGTCAGGTTTCTTTTTATTATTATAAAGTACTAACAAATAAAATAACGGAGCCAAATAAAGGAGCTATTAAGAATTAAGTAAGGGTACTATAATTCAAATTTTGCTCTGTTTTGCATTTTTTCACTTTTTGTGTAATATATTGGTAACACTGTTGCTGTGATATTCCATTGAAAGATTCATAAAAACAAATAGAATTGTTGCTGGGAATACTCAGTATGTTTAGGCAAAATTTTTTGATCAAATAAGTAAAAGAAATTGTACGGGGAGATTGGTGTCAATATTATTTTTGTGTATATCACATATTTATTTAATTACTAATAAAGAGGTTTTCGAACAGAAGTGAAACAACAACAAAAATTTATTTTTTAAATTATTTTAATTAATTGAATTTTTGGCTGACCATACAGCTGTTTCGAGTATTGCCAAATACCCTTCATCAGTGGTCTTGGAAATAATTCTTATATTTAATTATTCGTAATTATTTTTGAGACTGCAAGTACCAGGAATCGAACTCGGGTCCTGCCAAATATGAAGCCAGAAATCAGCGCACTTAACCAACTGATCCAAAGCCGTACTTGACTTTTTATGTTCGCATATTTTTGCTGGAGTTTTGTTACTTTTGCTATGAAAGTTTTTATTAAAAATTTTACTTGCTGTATTTATATATTAGAACGAAATCATAAACCAGCTGTAGAATAATTGAATTAATTAATTAATTATATTTTTTGTTTTTTAATTGTTAAATTTCAAAACTATTCTATTCGTAGAGGTATTATTTGTTGCATTAATTATTAATTTATTAAAAATAAATGTTTATATAATTTTTTTGTATAGAATTCAATTTTTCTTAATTATTCAAATTAGATTATTAAGCGAATATTATTTTAGATAAAAATCTACTTGTTTTTAGACCTAAAGAACATATTGATTGAAACTAAATAAATAAACAGCTACGTCATCTAGGAGTGTAGTTCTAAGTAAAAAAAAATAACTTTTCATTTACTATTGCTACCATTAAAGTAATTTTATGGAATATTTTGTTGTCTTCTAATCACATAAGCAGTCACAAGTGTAGCTTTTTTGTTTTTGTGTAGTGCGGAGGTGAAATGCTTTATGCACCCTTAAATCGACCGTCGTCGAAATGGTGTATAATGTAGTATACGGACTAAAACATCCCCTCTTCGGCGAGACTTTTTACCCCTCGGAATCGCTTTCGCATTACTTCACGAAGGTTCTCTTCTGTGTTGACATTCCAAGCCACGCTCTTGTGATTTTCAATCTGCGTCCAGACCATCATTTTCACCGTATTTTCTTGGTGTCTGCACTATTCATTATTCTTGTTTCTGATTCCCCTTTCTAGGTCTAATTTCTTCGTTTTGAGAACTTGAATCACATATGACTTTATCGTTGGTCATAAGTGTAATTGTAGAACTTATATTAGTTAAAAATACACGGAATAATGTAAATACCATATGAATTCCATTTAAAGAATTGGTACCGATGTATACGAGTGTATTTATTTTAACTGATAATTATGCGATATTTATATTATTAATAATAATATATATATAATTTTTCATATATATGAATGAGAAATTTTATAAAACATAATATTCTATGCACTTTTTACGTCCGAAATACAAATTTATTTACAATTTTGTTTATTTTTAAAAACCATTTAATTTATTATATTTAAACGTGTGTTTTTTTATATGAACGTGTTAAGTAATTCCGCAAACAAATTCATTAAAATTCAACAAATATTGAAACAGCACGCGAAAGTGTGCCAAAAATCGTTATTCATTATTGACAATTTTTATGCCTTTTTGCGGTTTCTCTGTAATAATTACGATTATACCATATCAATAGATCTTAAATTTCATATGTGAGCAAATCAAATGTCAAGATAATAAAAAATTAACAATTCAATTTATTAATTATCCGATAAACAAAAATCAGCGAAACAGTATCTGGAATAAATTAATTAAAATGCTTTGAAATTCCCATTTATCGCTTGAGATACAAAATTTGTTCCAGCGATAAAAAATTCTAATTACCATCGATTAAATGCCAATTAAATGCGTGTGAAATGAAGTTAGGGTCTTATTGGTATTTATGTGGCATTTATTGATATTCTCATCATTACTGACATACTTATGACTTAGCTAAAGTTTCAAATTGAATGAAATTATATGCATAAAAGAATTATATAGTAAAATAGCATTGTGTCTCGTTATGTTGAGATACTCGTAGCTGCAAGAAGAAGGCCAACGCTGAAGGCAGAGAAACAAATTAATGATAAAAAAATTTAATTTTTGACAATTTAATTAAAAAAAAAATTAATAGAAAAAGACTTTTATAAAACTCAAAGTAAATATATATGTATATTATCTATGATGATGTGACCTAATACTATAAATTTATAATTACATATATTTAAATAGATTACTTATTAGTAATTTTGCTCTGTCTTATATATTTTGTTTAAAGACCTAATTTCATTATAGGGATTATAAATAATATATTATAGTTAATTAGTGAATATAGTGTGATTCAGTGACAGATATTACATAGACTGTCATGAATTCGTTCTTATTTTAAGATGTCCCTAGTCTTAGTACCCCTTTTGTTTTTCTATAATATTTCTGTAAAAGTCTATTCTTTCTTGCTTTAAGAGCGTCCGTAGTCAATTTTTTGTTTTTTAACAACTTTTTAAGATTTCCTATATCAGTTTCTGATAGTCTTCGATGATTTTTTAAAGCAGGACTAGTTAATAATTTTCATAATTCTAAACGGCATTATAAATGTCTATATTTTCTTAGGGTCATGTAATCGCATTTTGCTACTCAATTTGTGTTTATATTTTGTTGTAGTAAAATTAGAAACAGTAAGTGTCGGAGAGACCTGTAAGATTTATAAAGTAGATTAATAATACATTGGTTTAAATTACTTTATATGGGCATGACTTTATTACAATATAAAAAATGTATAAATTGAAAACAAGTTAATAAATAAAAAACTTAATTCTCCTAAATATATTACAACAAAAAAAATTACTTTATATTTTCTAAAATAACATATAGTAGTTTCACGGTATCGTGAACTCATCACGTCACGCCGAAATCACATTTACAAGATTTTCATATTAATGACTATTACATATTTCATCCTAATTATTTATTTAACTAATAGTTATTTATTTAAAACTATTAAATAATATAATTAAATATATAAACTTCAATTATTGAAAGTTTTTACCACTGAACCACTGAAGCAATAGACCGAGTGTGTATCGCTAATGTACTCCGAGCCGAACATTAAGAGCATATACTGATGTCACGATGGAAAGTTTACTTATATTGTAGAAATATTGATGAAATGAGAGATAATAATCAATGTGCAAAATATTGTTCAATCGTTGGCAATTTTTTAAAATCTAAATACAAAAATCGAAAACATACTAATGAATATATCATGACTGGAGATCAAACTGCTAAACTCTTGAAAATGGTTTCAGTTTACCATGGAAATTAGAAAAGTGTAAAATTACATGGATGAAACACATACTTCAATTTAACAATAACAAATTCTAAACATTGAGTGTTGTCAATACTTTTTTCAAGATATCACTATAAATATAATACCAAAATTTCAATTGGCAGATCCTATTTTTATACAGGTTACTAAATTTATTAACACATTTGGTCTCAGAATGGTTACAGGCTCCTCGGGGAGGTATGCAGATCTGAGGTCAATTATTGCTTAGTCTGATCAAGTGACAAACAATAATCTAGTCAAGGCGTAAATAGAGGCTTGGAAAATACGTCGAGTTAAGAAAGAGTAAAAGTGCTCAAGTGCACTGGCTCAAATAGGTTGAACATAATAATTTGGTCTAAAATGGAATAAAATATATTTCAAGGGAGCTTTGAAATAAAAGTCATAATATTCTAATAATATTAATATTTGCAGATCTGAGGCAGTGGCGTAACTACATTTTTTAGGCCCATAAGCAAATTCTAAACAACTAACATCTTTTTAGAACCTTTACACGAAAAAGCGTAAAAAGGGTATATTAGGCTTATCAAAATTTTCGTAACGCATTAAAGGAAACGTCGAAAATACCATATAAGAGTATATGTAGTTTTTTCAGTTCAAACTACTCTCTCAGCTTTTGAACTCTTTGAATGAAACTTTACACACATACTTTAATTTCTTTAATGTTTCTTCTCGTTCGTTTTGCACTTTTCTTTTCTTTGCTCCACTTAAATGTCACAAAGAAAGAAATTTTAAAGATTTTCTTGAAATTACAAATGCAACTCTGTTCAAAAACCTTGTTATGAAGACACCTCGCAGTTAATAGAGAGTAAATGTGCTCAAGTGCGAATAGTAGTGTTTGAGGCATTGCCAAACACTACACATCCATATAGAAATGACAGACGAATTATTTGGTTATATAACAGCTTCTTGTTCTTAGCATTGAGATTTTCATTTTTGAATAGTGGTCTTTCATTTGGTCTGTCAAGTACCGTAAAAAGTTTACAGTCTTGCATAAGACAGCTGCCAGAATACGAAAGATCTTTCAAACGATCTTTCGCTAGATTTTTGATTTAAATTTCATTGATTTATTTATAAATAATAACGCATAAACCACAGCTATAATTGTATACACCTACTTAATTATTATAAATGGTTGTTTTTTAAATTTATGAGTTATTGTTTGTGAAAAACTTTTCTGAATAAATACTTAAATATATTTATAAGCTCTAAACATTCACATCACAATAATTTAATTACCTTGCCTGAAGGGTTATGGACTACTCATTAAAATTCGTTGTTTCACTTTAGTGTTATACCTACTACGCTTACGAAAATAGTTCAAGGGTTATTTGTTTATGTGGTTCTTTTTATTTTAATTAAATTGATATATTAAATTTTAAACAAAGTATTAACTGAAGTCAACACCGATTTGATTGCACATTTCCTTAAATGCTAAAACGCCAATTTTTATTGAAACACGAAATACTACACACGCAAATGAAAGATACAATTTTATTGCTTAGTTCTGAACAAATTGTAAACAATAAAGTGTGTATCGGTGAAGCGAAACGGTTTTTAGTATTTCACTGACTTACACGAGAGTAATTACAATGCCAGTTATATGTTTACAGTTAATGAAATTAATGGAAATGCATTTTTTCAAAGCAATCTTAACTATAAAACCTTCCTTTCAAATAACACATTGGATGTGCACTGATTGGGAGTTTATCTTCACAGTTCACAGAGTTAAAGTTATTTGATTCTTCATATTCACCCCCTCAAACTCATTTCAATATCTATTTAAAATATTTCCGTCTGTATTGCATAAATTATCTGAAAGTTATTTTTTTATTTAACTCGAATTTAAATGGTGAATTTACCCAGCGCTTTTCTACTTAATCGCTTTTTAGACATAAACAAACAATGAAACAAATTGACGAAATTTTTCTCAAATGAATCATTCAGTGGTTTTAAATATAACAAATCTGTACATTTGAAAAAAAAAAAACTTTTATTATCTGTTTTTTCCATTGTATATTAGGTATTAAATTTCAGATAATGACCAATGAATCGTTATGAATCTATTTTCCTCTTAATTGATACTGCTTGTTTTAGCACGTTTTCAAAGAAAAGTTTTTAATTAACAATACGTCACTTATCGGTTAAGTGTGAGATAGTTCAGTATATAAGATAGTCGTTTTCTATAAAGTATAAGTGTTGTGAAATTAAGTTCATTAAAAATATTGGATGATGAGTGTTCGCTATTTTTTGATATATTTTTGAAAAATAATTGTCTTCATTGCTAATCAATTTTGATGATATATATAGGTATTGGTAATTATTAGTTATGACCTCTTGCCATTTTTCGGGTAGCTTCATAAATCGGCATAAAACTATTATGGTTTTTGGCTAAGAGATATTCAGCTGTTTTTCTGTGGACCAAATTTTCGTCGTTAATAAAGTCTTGCAAAGATTGAAACAAATGATAGTCAGACAGTGCAAGCTCCGAGCTATACACTGGATGCATTTAAACTTTCCAACCAAGTTTAGACAATTTGACCCGAGTCATTAATAGATGAATGTGACTTGTCATTGTGATTACGGAAAACAACTCTTGTTCTGTTGACTGTTCGCTTTTTTCATTGTTTCGTTCAAGAGATTGAGAGCAGTCGAGGATCGACTTAATCGACGACAGTTTGAACAACTTCGGAATAAACAGTTGCCTTCCAAACGCTCTACTGTTTGCTATTAAACCAGGTTTTGAAGTCATTTGTGGATGTATTCACTCAACAAATTTATTTGCATATAAAAGTATTAAAACGAAACCATAAACTACAGTTATAGTTACTTAGTTCAGATATTACAATTTTATATTTACCATGATATACATAAATATTTAATTCAACGGTCACAGAAAAAATCAAGAGTTATTTCATGTATTTAGCTGCTGTTAAGGCTTAATGATGTTCTCAACATACATATTAATATAAGGTGCCGATAAATACCGATACCAATTGAAGTCACATGTATGGATAAACTTACTGTTTGGTGACAAGGAGACCAAACTTATACCAATATCATCAATATCACATACCAATTATACTTATATCAATATTGAATGAAAGGAAATAGATAATATTACTTCACCAGCGTAGATTTGGGTTTCTTATACAACCAACCTCTATTAGTCAGGACAACCGAAGCTGTGGGCTCCAACTTCCTTACAGATGTATACCTTCAGTGTGTGTCGCGACTGTAAAATGGAAGTACTCAGTACCGGTGATAATTCTAGGAATATCGGATTGATGCTCAACTTGAGCATCAGACCAACCTGATAGACTAAATATACTTAACCACTTTATTCACACCTACAATATTTGCTCACATCTATTCCAAAAGAACAGCACAATTAAATTAGTAGCGCACAAGCATACTTATCAATTATGGATAATCATAGAAAATTTTAGAGAGAAATACAAAACTTTTATGGTTTATAGAAGTCATACTTCTATAAAAATCCTTGTTGTTCAGTAAAATTAAGAGAAACCAATTGAACATTTGAATATCGGCATATTTTTTAAACTGAATGTTCTAGCATGCCTCAGTGTGGCCATCCACAAGTTGTCATTTTGCCATATACTTTGGAGATGAAACACCGTAATGCATGCCTGTCTTCAAATATAAGTATTTAGATAAATGCCTTGAAAACTACCAATAACAATTGGTTTCGATAACGCTATGATGTTGTAAAAGACTAGTAGCTCAAAATGTTGTCATAGTAAATTGTTAACCGCTAACCTAATGTAGCTCTTTAAATTTTAATTAATCTTTTAAATACGAGAATAAATTAAATAATTAATTAATTTGTTTTGAAATTAAAATACATTATTTTGATATTGGTATAACTATTTTATTTTGATTTATTTTTATTTTATTTGATGCAGTAACTTCAGATGGCAAAAAAATTATACCCCCTCACAGCAAAATGGATTGTGCTAAATCATGGCTTAAACGGTGTACAGAGCGAACTTTTAACAAAAAAACATTACACAAACGATTACCGATAACCCGTTGGCTACCAAAATACAGTAGTGATGATGCGGTGGGTGATTTAGTGGCGGGAGTAACAGTTGGGTTAACAGTTATACCACAAGCATTGGCCTATGCCGGTATTGCAGGCGTACCAGCAGCAGTAAGTATCCAAAGACATTTATTTTTTTATATATGCGAATATTCGTGATGTAAAAACTCTATGTTTCTTTCTTTTTTTTCCTACAGTATGGTTTATATGGCTCATTTCTTGGCTGTTTTGTTTATATATTTCTTGGTAGTTGTAAAGACGTGCCCTTTGGTCCCTCAGCTATTGTTGCTCTACTGACGTTTCAAGCAGCTCAAGGTTCATGGCAAAAATCAGTATTGCTGTGTCTATTGTGCGGAATTGTGGAACTTCTAATGGGTATTTTTGGTTTAGGGTTTTTAATTGACTTTGTTTCGGGTCCTGTTTCATCAGGATTCACTTCGGCTGTGTCACTTATTATCGTTACTTCACAAATAAAAGATATTTTGGGTATCGCAGTAAAAGGTACTACATTCCTTGAATTATGGTCGCAAATAATCGAGAACGTACAAAATACTCAAGCCTCTGATACGATACTCGGCTTAACTTGCATTGTTATTCTATTAATGATGAGGGTAAGATTAATTTTTTATCCGAAATACTATATGTTACTGAATACTTCTTTTTTGTTCTTATAGTTGCTTTCATCATTTAAAATTGGATCTATAGAGCCAGAATTACGGTCGAAATCGCAAAATATTATGAATAAAATATTTTGGATTGTTGGTACATCTCGCAATGCCATACTTGTTATCGTTTGTGGTGCTATGGGTTATATTATACATAATATACATGAAGGCACACCTTTTCGCGTCATAGGTTATATACCGCCAGGCTTGCCAACATTTGAGTTACCACCTACTTCCTTGAGTGCGAACGAAACACTGAGTGGCTATGAAGAATCATTTATAGATATTGTCCGCAGTATGGGTTCGGGTTTAATCGTAGTACCACTAATATCGCTTATGGAAAATATTGCAATATGTAAAGCTTTTGGTGAGTAACAAAATAAATGTTGTTTGATTTACAGTTTATAAATATTACGATAAATAACATTAATTAGTTTTTAAATCTAAAAATTACTTTTGGCTAAAATTAGTTGTGAGTTTTACTTAGATTTTGTATATTGAATAATAAATTTATATTATATAATAATTACATTATATTATATTACAACCGATATAAATGCTGAAGAAGACATCTCTCTGCTATAGGCTAACTTTGTTTGTATTTATGTTTAATACTTCAAATCGGATAGTCGATGCGTTGAGACATAGATCGTTTGCGTATTCCAGGTCTTTTGATTGTTCAAACAACGACCACTCAATGCCTTGTCTGCCATCTGTAGTATTTCTCATAATTTTGTTCAATGTCAGTATAAAAACAAGCGGCGAAAGCACACAGCCTTGATGTACCATACTCAATATTTCAAAAGGGCCGGCATTTATAGTTGTAGTACATGGCTTTACTAATACTTCAAATTTTTTCCTGGTAAACTTTGTCTTCTTAGCGTATCCCATAGATACCCTCTGTCAAGGCTATCAAAGGCTTTTTTAAAGTTAATACGCAGCAGGTTTCCTGAAGTTCGATATTTGATTATAGTAGCATTCTTCTACTATAATGCGGACGGTATTAAAATGATCAATGCAAGATCTATTTTGCCTGGTTCTCCCGTAGGGTTTTGTCTAAATCCTCAGATATTCTGGACAATATTAGCATTGCAAGAACTTTGCTTGGTATTGGAAGCAAGGTGATGCCCCAATAATTGTTGCAATCTGATGAATTTCCTTTTTTCTGTTGACTATAAAAATACCCTCTCTCCATTGTTCGGGGTATTCATCCTCTTCGTAAATATTGTAGAAAATTAGAATGACATTTATAGTAAGTATTGGGTCCGCCTTGAAATATTTTTGAAAATTTAATAATTGAAACAATTTTATTCATATACGGTATAAACATTAATTCGACGAAGGTAAATCTGACATGTGATTATCATAACCATCAAAAGCACTACCATTTAACTCGTTCTAAGAATTATTTAAGACTTCTTTAAAATGTTTAACCCATACAGTTATATGTTGCTCACTGTCAGTCACAAGATTGCCATTTCCATTTTTTGTAGACTTTTCATAATTTTTATGTTTTCCTGCAAGTTCTCTGCTAATCGAGTAAATTTCTTTTATATTGTTCGTTCTTGCTGCGGCTTCGATCTGCTAAACAGTCAATCCATTTTCTTTTATCTTTCCCTCCTGCTTGTTTCGCTTGTTTACATTTAGATTTATAATTCATGATCAATTGCTCCACGGTATCGGAGTTATTGTTACTGTTCAAACCAAGAAGGGAGTCCTTTTCTACGATGTTACTCGATCATCTAGTAAAGATGTACATTACAGCACATTAGAGTACATTATATTAATTATATTATCTAAAATCTTTTTAAAATTTATGATCATTTATAGTATATATCCAGTAATAAATAAAAACAAAATGAAAATTATAAAATGATTGAAGCTATTTTAAATTTTTTCATTAGCTAATGGCAAACCAGTCGATGCTTCGCAGGAACTCATTGCTATTGGTGTAGCAAATATTGCGAACTCATTTGTGCAAGGCTTTCCCGGTACTGGCGCATTAAGTCGTGGTGCAGTCAATCATGCCAGTGGTGTAAGGACTTCTCTAAGTAATGTGTATTCCGGCGCTTTAGTCATTCTAGCCTTGCTATTCTTTACACCTTACTTCTACTACATACCAAAAGCGACTTTGGCCGCAATTATAATTGCCGCCGTAGTTTTTATGGTAGAAGTTAAAGTAATCAAACCAATGTGGCGTGCGAAAAGTAAGTATTATAATTTTTTTATAATCTCTATAGATTCGTTATTTCGTAGACCATCCAACTAATTTTTATATTAAATTGTTATAGAAAGCGACCTTGTGCCTGGTATAGGTACATTCCTTGCCTGTCTTATATTGCCACTAGAAATAGGCATATTGATTGGAATTGGATTGAATGTCATATTCATTCTTTATCACGCAGCAAGACCAAAGATCTCAACTGAAATACTAAGCACTCAGGCAGGCAATGAATATCTTATGATAACACCAGATCGATGCCTTATATTTCCATCTGTGGATTATGTACGCAATTTAGTGAACAAACAATCCAAGCGAGTGGAAAACGTGCCGGTGGTCATCGATGCATCACACATTTATGGTGCTGATTTTACAGCTGCCACAGTAATCGAATCTCTTTTGAAAGATTTCGCTAGTCGAGAACAGTTACTATTTTTCTACAACTTGAAACCCAGTATTTGTACTCTTTTCGAAAGTTTATCGCCGACGGAATTCGAAGTGTACTATCAAGAAGATCAATTGGATGAACTACTAAAGTCACGTAATTATGTACAGAAAAAGGTCGTTACTGTTTAGAATCTAAACTGAATCTTGTATGTACTTAAGTTATTTAAGATCTAAATTTGTAGTTGTATATAATTGCTTGAATTCGAAGATGGTTATGTCTTTAAAGAACCACAAAAAGTGATATTTCATTCAATAATTATTCCATCGGTTGGTTAACTATTTTTATTTTTTGTGATTTTTTTGTTAAATTATTTTTTTAATGTTTATTATTAAGGATTATTATTTTATTTTACTTTTAACTTAAAGTATTAATTTAGTCTAATGGCCAAATATGTTGCTTCGTTGAAGATTTTATAATACATTAAGATAAAAAATATAGTTCCATATAAAAAAATTTCTTACCAAATAAGAAAAAAATATTTAATTTAAACTCTAAAGCAATAGTATAATTAGTGTTATTTATAATTAATATTTAAATGTTTGTTTAATATAAAGAAGTCTGTGAAGATATCTTAAATTTAAATTAAGATTCGTAATACAAAATTTCAGATGATGAAATAAATCAAACAAATTAATACAATGTGAAAAATATTGAATATTGCTATAAAATATAATTTGTTTATGTAAATTATTTTGTATCAGAGCTCATATGTCAACCCAACTTTAGCGGTAATAGAAAATTATCTTACAAACTCTTCTAGCGTAGTCTTCTTACTTAATGTGCTACTCATATGGTCTTATTACAGTTGGATTTAGTTATGAATCACTTTATAAAATTTCAGATCTTTAGTTTTAAATTTTTTCATTAGCACTAATTTTATTTAGATAAGTTAATAATGTAAAAATTGTATTATTATCAAATAAGTTTAGTTTTAAAAATAAAATAAAAAATTTTTTAAGAACAAAACTAATTTCGTTCTTCACTGATTTCACATCCCAGTAGATAGAATAAATCTTTCTTTAATAACATGTCACATGAAACTGCACTTCAAATGGTGTTATATGCCAACATCTTACCCAAAAACCAATTAATTCTCCATATAAAAAATTACTACAATGGTCTAATTATATAAAACATTTTTTTATATGGAGTTTTCTATTAATTTTTCGTGCGAAATGGATGTTAGTATTAGGCTTAAGCATGGACAAACTCTTTATCCTTTGGTTACTTTTAGATTCCAAATTATCATTTACTCTTTGCTTATTAGATTGATCTTGCTTTTCGAAAATAAAATGAAGAAAACTTAATTGAATTCTCAATATCTTATCCTACCAGAAAAGAATAAGCACCCTTACTTCGGTTAGAAGTTAGTATTGATGTAGAACCAATTTTAATATCAATTCTTCTCGCTGTTACTTTTATATTGATACTTTAGTCAATCTCTTTAATATACTTTACTTGACTATCACAAAATATTTATACTAGTCCTAGCTGCTGGCCTCTCCTCTTGATCGTAAGAACCCGAATGAAAGAATTAATATGATTCTTTTTTTTTTACAGTAGGTGGAAGCATCGAAAGCCACCGTGTGGGACTAACCCACTAAACGACCTCTAAGGAATGAAAGGAGAAGATTTCCAAGGCAATGGGGAAACTTCATTCCAGTAGACGAAGGAGAGAGAAGAGAGTAAAGAGACTTAATACCTAGCAAGCTAGGTTCATCTAAATCAGAGCTCTTGAGCCTAAAAAGAGGAAAATTGGAAGTAGTGAAGGGGGTGGGGTTATGGCAAAAGCGCGAGTGTACTAAAGGTAGACTCTGTGACCAGGGACACGAGAGCCACGGTTATATAATGGGATGACGGAGGGATCTGAGTCCCATTCATCAAAATAATCAGAGATGAATTGAGGAGGTTTATGGTGTAAGGCCTGAATGAGGTCAGGAGGAAAAGTAGTGGGAGCAATGATATCAGGAGGGAGGTTGTGGAGCCTGGTGAGATACCTACGGGCGAGTGAGAGAAGGTACTCGTCAATCCGAGTAATTTTGGCAGAATTAAAAAGGACGGAGATTGAAAAGTGTTTACCGTCAGGCTTGCGTTTGTAATTGGTGCAATTGCGAATGAGCTTGCGCTCGAAAAGACGGATTCTTTTCATCTGGGCAGAGGAGATTGCAGACCAAATAGGGAAATCGTACGTTAGGAGAGGGCGAATAAGCTGTTTGTAACAGAGAAGCTTAACTTTACAGTTAAGCTGATTGTGCCTGCGAAGGGCATTGTTAAGTTGAATGTGCCTGAATCGCGCATTGCGAATGGCATAGTCAACATGAGGTATAAAATTGTGTGAATGAATATGCACAAGTGCTAGTGCCCTTTTTATGCATTATTTGCCTGCCAGTGTTCCGTGCCGTCTACATGTGCTAATATGTTCTTTCGGCGGGTGCTGTCACAATACTTTCAAATTTTTACGAGTACATTAACAGAATGTCAGAAATTATGGTTGTGAAAGAACAACTAAATTCTGGTTTACAGAGTTTTCAGGCTTATCTTTTATTGTTATTCATATTAAATATGCATATTATTAACCAAATTGATATATGAAATTTGTAAAGGTAATATTAATTATTTATCTAAATATCTCTAAATAATTATTTTAATATTTTCATTTTTTTTTTTTTTGTGGAAAAAAGATTTGGGACTTGGGTTGGTTTATGAATTTATGCAAAATGAAGACCCTAAGCGCACTGTTCTATTTGCATAAAAAGTAGTTATTGCAAGTGATTCTTAATATAAGTCGGAGAGCTAGCATTTTTTTTTTGCGTGGTTCTTTTTACTTTTTCCTGTGCTTCATTGTCAGTAGCCAAAAAGTGACCGAGATTCGTTCATAAAACCAGTGCTACGGGAATTTCCCTGAAAAAAAGTTCATTTCCCGTTTGGTAGCAATCAGGCGATCAAATAATTTCGCATGATTATCTCGTCATTTCAAACGTTTATGTTTGCAGATCTGAGGTCAGTTATTGCTTAGTCTGATCAAGTGATAAACAATAATGCAGTCATGGCATAAAAGGGAGTTATGAAGAAACCTCGCAGTTAATAGAGAGTAAAAGTGCTCACGTGCACTGACTCAACTAGCCTCAACATAATCAATTCAAAAATATTTTAATAAAAACATTCCATTAAATTTTATTTTAAGCAGCACTACTATATATGCTTTGGTAAAAATAATATGAAAATAATTCATTAAATTATATTTTAAATTTAAATTTAAGCAGTGCTAAATTATATTTTAATTTTAAATTAGAAACAATATATTTATAACAGTACGGTACTATTTGAGGCGGCATCTAGCGTACAGTAGAAAATAGATAAGTTGTCAAACTTTTAACTCATAAGGTACCACGTGGTGACATCTATGTCAAAATCTGTACAATAACAATATTTAAAGCAATTGGCGTCTGCAAATTAATTTAATACAAAATAAATATTAATTAATATATCAAATAATTTACAAAAATATGAAACGTTTAAGTGATGAACGTGCAAAAATCTTATTTGAGAAACTTTCTAAATAGTAAGTAAAGTAAAATATCTCCAAAAAAAGGATTAAGAGATTATTATATTTCAGCATTGGAACAAATGTAAAACAGTTAATTGATCGTCCGGATGGCACATATTGCTTTCGAGAGCATCGTGATAGGGTATACTATGTGTCAGAACGTATACTAAAGTTATCTGAATGTTTTGGACCAGAAAAATTAATTTGTGTCGGCACATGTTTTGGCAAGTTTTCGAAAACCAATAAACTGAAGTTTCACATAACCGCTTTATATTATTTGGCACCGTATGCGCAGTATAAGGTGTGGGTGAAGCCGTCATTTGAGCAACAGTACCTGTATGGAAATCATATACCCAAATCTGGCTTGGGACGTATAACAGAAAATGCCGGTCAATATCAGGGTGTCGTTGTATACTCAATGAACGATTTGCCATTGGGTTTCGGTGTGCTAGCGCGTTCGACCACTGAATGCAAAGCAGCGGATCCATTGGCCACAGTTTGTTTCCATCAGTCTGATATTGGCGAATATATACGTTCGGAGGATACGTTGTTTTAAATAATTTTCAATTGCATAGAATTAAGTAGTGTAAAATGATTTATTAATAGTCTTAATAAACTAATACAAAGTAAAAAAGCATAATGTATCCATACGTGACAAAATTAGCTTTATATAATTGTTATCAGAATTGTAAGTACTTTTCGCTAATAATTGTACTCAGTGTCAATAATGTTAAACACGTTAATAATATTGAAAATTTCCTAAAAAATCTTCAGCTTTACTTGAAAACCTTATGTATGCCTGAATCAATAAAAAAAGAAGAATTTTCGATATTAGGAGAAGTGCACACTTGGCTGATATTATATCTATTCGATATGATAACCGATATTTTGTCAGTTTAAATAATGAGTTTCTTTGAAGAAGTTATGGCATGTTGACACTTGTTGTAAAAGAAATTGAATTAAATTAAATTTAAAATATCGTATAAAATATCGGCAGGAGTATCGAGTGAATTGTCTCAATATGAACAGAAGTGCTATATCACAATCTTTTTGGTTGCAGTCATGTATTTAATTGCAATTTTTAAATGTTACTTATGTAAAGCATAATTAAATTATAAATCAAATTTTATTTATTTAAAATTAAATTTTGGGCTATAATAGATTCTAGATAAAACAAATTTTTCTGACATAAAGAAGAGCAAATCAACATGTAACGCTCGCATTCATACAAAAGGAATGGCTCCGCATTAATATGCATCGAATTTGTTAAGTTCATGCAAATTATTTGCATATCATTTATTTTACAGAAATCAATAAGGATCACATACATATTGCTTTATTTAACGTATAGGTTATTAATAGAACTAGGATGCATTATATTTTTATAGATTTGCTTTGATTTTTTTTTTGCAAAATATGCAATTATTTGCACTTTGCGTTTTCTCCTTTTTTCTATTTTAGTTGACGAAACGCGTGTTAGCCTAAAGTATTTTTATACGATAGTGTCTTATCATTTAGGTGATTCACTGCAACAAGGGTTACACTCGTTTTATTTGAAACTATTCACTTATTTGAAGTATTTGTTATATTATGCTCATATGTATATAGAATAGCATCTTAGTTCAAATTTACTGTTTGCTAACAATTGCAAGTTATATCCAATTAATTTTTAATATTCTTACTTGAAAATTCACAATAAGTTAATATTTTACATGAGTATTGTAGAATATAAAATAACTCTTTATTAACAAAAATATTCGATATATTTTGTTTTATTTATTAATTTTACTTTTCTTTAACACTTTTTAAAATTAGAGAGAAATCGTTGCTCATAAGCATGTTTGTTAACCCATAACCCATAGTTTGTCAATCAAAATTTGTTTATTGTTTTGACAGATGCAACAATGTGGCAACGTCAAAACTGCATCTTCGCTGACAGCGGCTACAACAAAAGGAAAGTAAACCACTTGCTGTTTGTGGAGCGAATACACTTTTTGTCTTTTACTATAAATAATTCGCGGAAAAATTGTGCGTGTTAAGTGCAAAAATCACAATGCAGCTGCAAATAAAAGCAGTTGTTCTAGTTATGCTGCTGCAATGTTCTAAATGCGGTAAGTTGCATTTGGTGTAGAAAAGAAAGAATTCTAATGTATAAAAAGTTCCTCAAATGAGCGATAAGATTATTGGGTGTATCACAGTCTAATTCACACTGAATAAATTGCAGTAAATAGCACACAAATTTGTTTTGTTTACGTGAAATACATTGCTTAGCTGAGTCACCGTAATCACACAGTCACTCTGACGTCAGTATAAGTTGTGTTGGTGTAAACAAAAATAATTTTTTTGCAAAAATTTTAATGTTAACGCTTCATGTTAATTTGTTGTATTTTTATAGTTGTCAGTGAGCGCACCCGGGACAAAATGTATGAAGCAATCAATGGCGCCAGTTGTTTTAGAAGACTCAATGGCACCCATCAGACAGGTTGTTCATGTAAGTATATTTATTGATATGAAATCTACTTATATTTATATTTATATTTTATTATAAACAAAAAAATATTTATATCTGATTGTAGCTACACATTCTGGTTCCGTCGGAGTATTACATCTTGTTCAACGTGAAGAAGATTTCGATTTTTTATTAACAAATCCACCTTCACCGCCATATGCGCCCATAATTCCACCAGAACTTTTTACACAACGAAATATGTTGCGCCTGCAGAAGGAAGGAGGCAAGAATATTTCTGTTGTACTGCTAATAAATCACACACAAAAGATGTTGCAGTTTTCGCACGAGCTCAATTGTCCTAATCAGTATAGTGGCATAATGTTTCCAAATAGTTCAGTAACACCCACGTGCGATGCTGCACCTGAGCTGTCGTGGAATCCATGGGGCACAGGCTTATTGCATGAAGATTTCCCATTTCCTATTTTTTACTTAGCCGACATAGACGAAATTACTAAAATCGTAAATTGTTTCGAAAAATTCAATAACTTTAATTATGAAGGACACTCCAAACGCAGTTTATGTGCTGTAGAAGTGAAAACTTTTATGACAGCCGCTGTCAGTTCGGAGGTGTGTATGCGTCGGTCCAATTTTATAAACACTATGGGCAGCATAAAATATTGTGATCCATTGGAAGGTAGAAATGTTTATGCCACCCTTTTCCCCAGAGTTATGTCAGCTGAAAATGAAGTAGTTGCCGAGCGAAAAGTTAATACAAGTGAAAAGTTCATATTAGTCAGCTGTCGGTTGGACACAACATCAATGTTCGATGGTGTTGGTTAGTATAAATAGAAATAAAGCTAATGATCGTATTACTAATGTATAACTTTATTTTAGGTTTGGGTGCATTAGATTCATTAACTGGTTATGCTACTCTAATAAATGTGGCGCATATGCTGGCGCAGTTATTGCCAAATAATTCAGAAGTTTTAAATAAAACACTGAATGTACTTTTCGTTGTATTTAATGGAGAATCGTATGATTATATTGGCTCACAGCGTTTTGTTTACGATTTAGAAAATATGGCATTTCCTACACGCTCCACTCAAACGACGCCTATTGGTCTGGAAAATATTGAATATGTTTTAGACATTGGCACATTAGATGACATAACAAAAATAAGATTACATAGTCTAGATGAATTTTCACAAGCGTCACAGTTATTGGCAAAGTTTCAACATTATGGCCTATCGCCTATTTTAAAATTTAACATTAGTTTTATGAATAACGTGGGAATGCGAATGCCACCTACCTCAGCGCAATCGTTTCTACGTAAAAACATAAAATTTCCCGCTTTCGTACTTAATGCAAGACCACAAAACAGATACTATCATTCCATTTATGATGACATGGATAATATGAATTTTACATACGGTAATACAACATTGAATTTCACCGGTTTAAAGGATGTGGCTGAACATTTTGTTTTTGCTCCTGATTCCATACAAATGAAAATACGCAATATATCAACTGTTATCGCGTTATCCTTGTACGAAACTCTAACAGGTGTCTCGTATAAAAAAACTGAAGTTGCTAATCCTTTATTAACGGATGAATTCCTTTATTGTTTTTTGCAATCTGCTGATTGCCCACTTTTCAAAGCTGCTTCACATCCTAACAGTTTACCTGGTCTACCGATACCACCATCAAGGTTAGCATCAGTTAGGTGTGCAAAATACGTTTTATAATATTAATTAAATTGTATTTTACAGATACGTGAGCGTTGGAGGTGGTTCACAAGAATCTTCTGGCTGGACTAATCGCGTTCTAGGTTATTTGTTATCACACCAAACTAATATTGCTAAAGCAAATTGCTCTAATCTGCCATTACATTGGTTTGCCGGTTATCGGAGCAAAGGCGAATGTAGAGTTACTACACAAAATTACAGTTATGCACTTAGTCCTGCATTTCTTATTGATAGTTAGTATTAAATATGTATTAATAATAATATAATGTGTGCATATGTAATCATTGTATATGTTACTATTTGCTTATCATCATTAGATTATGACTGGAAATCAGGTCAATATTCTACATGGACTGAATCCACTTGGACGCAGTTTAGTGCGCGCATATTTCTCAGACCGTCCAACATACATGAAATCATTACACTAAGCATTGGCGTGGTTGTGTTAATAATATCCTTCTGCTTAGTTTACATTATAAGTAGTCGCGCAGATATTTTATTCGAAGACGCGCCAAGTAGCACAGCCGCGTAAGTACACGTTTTGTTGTGATGTTCGCATGGTGTACGTTTATTGGATTGCATTGTGTTAATAGTAATTTTGGGTTTTTAGCTTAATTTAAACTGAATGTGCATGTAAATTAAAGAAAATATTTTTATTTACTTCAACTAAGATGCATTTACTTATATACTCATACTAATCTAACACTAGTAAGTTAAACAAATATTTATATTTATACTAAGAATAAATTTGAAGTTAAAGTCTTAACTGTTCTTGTTTACCACTTTTAGGTTAGCGGAACCAACTGCTTGTTAGAATATTTAAAAACACCTTATGAAAAATGTCATTTTCTTTCGTACATACATAATTGATTACAGGCTTCTGGATGCATAGGCTATTTTTTACATTGTTAAGACTGCCTACAAAAACTGTTAAAACAATAAATATAACCAATGCAAATAAGAAATTTATATAAATATATATAATGCAATAATATACTACATATATGCATATATTGTATGCAGTTAACAAGTAAGAAATATATTAAATTTTATATTTATATATACTTTCTTTATATATATATTTATCTATATGTATATTATATTTTAATAATTGTAACTTTTATAGTATTCATACATGACATGCAACATATTTTGTTTTTGATATTATTGAATTGTTAAATCTATTACTAAACTTTAAATAATCTGTATAAAATATAAAAACAAAACTATATTATGGTTTATTATATTTATTAAGAAATGTAATTTATGTAACTATATTTTAAGTAAGTTATTTAACAGAGATTTATAGATAATAGCATTATGCAAATCTTTGATTTTGATATAAAAGTAATATCCGATTAAAACTAATAATTACTTAAAGAATTTATATAAACTTTGTATGTATATATAAATGAAGACATAATTTTAAGATCTAAATTGTTTAACTGATTTAATTAGCGCAGGTTAATTAGCTTTAGAAGACTTGTTAATAAGAAACCAAAGTATGTAAGGACATATAACGTGTTTCTCTAAAAACAGTAAAACTAGATTTCTTTAACAATAATTAAAATGATAAAAAGCCAAATTCATAAATTACTACTTATGAATTTAATTATTACATATTTTTTTAACCCAATAGAATAACATAAAATCGTGAAAATAAAGATACAAAAAATTTATATAAAATTTTTTTTTAATATTGCTTTACATATTGAAGAAATTAATAAAAAATGTTGGATTAATTACAAATATAATATAATATAATCGAATGTATATTAATACATATTTAGCAATAAAGATTTGTAAAGATATATTCGCTAACATATACAGAATAACATATATTTTGTGTTATATATTAGCAATATTTAGAAGTCAATAATATAAGGGATTCTTACATATTGTTTAGCATATGTTAACTTGGAGTGAACAGTGGTTTGATTGCGTTAGTATTTACTAAGTTCTATGTATTTCGACACTAACTAACTTGTATTCTCACTCCCACTTCCATTTAGCATATATGTAAAGTCAAACAAATTATTATAATGGTGCATAAGCTCCGTCTATACCAAATTTGATGTTAGTGTCATTGAAGAAAGATTAATCACTGATTTCAATCATAGTATTAAAGAACTTTATAAACAATAACATGGTTAGACAAATATGCTATTAGTTGTGATAATGTATTGAATGAGAAGATTAAAAAAATAATATCGTATATAATAAAACTTATTATCTGAGGTTGAACAAATTTATGATTAGAGATTGACTTTGAAAGTTTTATTAGACAGGAATTGGAGCATGATACATTTATAGATTCCAAATTGGCAGAATTTGTGAACAAGGTTATCTTATTAATTCGGTTATCAAAAGTGAAGGACTTCAGTTTACTATCAATGAAAGTTCCAAAGCTATTATTGTTGTATTAGACGCTTAACTAAGACCTTTTTTTCAACAAACTTTATCAGTTTGCACTCAAAGGTGTTTTTTTTAATTTATTTGTAGTAGGTTTAGTAGTAGAATAGGTAGTTCCACACTTATATTGGAAAAGTTCACATGATTCTCATATCCTTTGAAAATGTGAAACCGTGATTAAAACTGAAGTGACACTAAATCGCAGATATTGAGTGGCTGTTAGGTGCAAATCTCGACGCAACATAATCCTTTTTTATTTAGTAATGGTTTAGTATCTACATATTCATAAGTCTGCATATTTCGCCATTCATTTTAAATTTAATAAAATCTACATTTCCCATTCTAAGAGAGTTAGAAAAACACGGAGAGGGAAATCTTTATGATAGCAGCAAAATAATTAATAAAATTCCATTAAATAGGTATTTTTGCTACAACTTATTTATAATCATGCGTTTATTTAAATTCTCTACACTTGCTAGATTTTTATTTTATAAGCAAACATAAACCAAACAACATATCTTATTATATGTGAATATTAGATTGAATTAGAAGCAGAATATTATATTAGGTACTCTTTTGAAAGCTTTTGTCTACGAAATTTAACAAAGTCACACATATAAGATAATAAAATAATTTATATTAAATTATTTGCTTTAATCACTACTTTTTCACAAATTCTTTATCTCTGTTTTGCATGAAGTGTAAATAAAAATACAGTTTTAATCTAACCTGAGATACAATACTTCATCAATCACAGCTTGTTAAGCACAAAATAAAAATAAAATAAATTGTATTTGTCTATTTTATATCTTTAGTTGTGATACATTGAAGAGTTTTTTAAAGAGCTTTAATTTATTAATAGTTTAATAAACCCTTAGCCTTTAAATTAAGAATCGAATCTGCAATCACTTTTGCAGATGATTTTAAATAACCACCACTAAGTAGCATAACTATCGGAATGTTATGCTCGCGACAAGTTGAAAAAACATATTCATCACGTTCAATAACACCATCTGGAGTTATATCCAATAATCCTAAGGGATCGCCTTTAAGCACATCAGTACCAGCATTATAAACAACGATATTTGGATGAAATTCTTTGAGTGATCTTGTTAAGGAACTGTAATTAAAGTACATATATGGATATATATACATATATAAATATATATGTTTACAACCTTTTCAGTTTTTTCATATATAAAATATCTTCAGTGCGTGGTTGTAGTTCGGCAGCGCAACGTATAGCTACTTTAGCTTGATGGTCTCGTGGATATATTGCAGCATTATACATATCCAATATAAAAACGTTTTCATTATTTACAAAATCACGTTCGTGACCATTTCCTTGATGTGCATCCAAGTCAACAATCATTGCAGTTGATACAGATTCCTCCTCTTCAAAAACTTTTGTTATTAACAAAGTGATATCAGCATAAGCACAGAAACCTCCACCTTTATAAGAGCAACAGTGGTGAAATCCTCCACCTAAATTTATAGCCCATCCATTGCGAATGGCTAGTTTCCCAGCAAGTATAGAACCGGCAGTTTGAAAACGCATAGGTCGCAAATAACCTCGTTGAACTAAATAATTTGGAACAAATATCAAGGGCGGTATTTCCGATATACGAGCAGCATTCAAGCTCCACTAAAAATTGATATTTTAAAAAATAAAAATAAACCCTTAGAAGGGATTAAGAAAACCTTTAAACTATTTAAATATTTCGTGGTATGCACTTTAAGCAGTTCTTCTTTGGTAATTTCTGTTGGTTCATAAAATTGGCCAGGCGTATAAAATTCATATTCCTTTAGCAACTAAAAATAAAAATTCACTAAATAATCTTGGCATATTTTTAATCAATTAGTATTCAATTTTACCTTCGCTATATGAAAACCTTTTGCTGCATCAAAAGGATGCAATTTTTCAAGACAACAGAACTTCACCCCATACCGCTTAGAATAAACAATTGGAAGTTTATCAGGGTTTTCTAACGTTATATCAGCATTTTTCACATCTTTACGTTTTATCCATACTACTTCATTTTGTTGCTCTTCAGAATGAACTTTTTCAGTTAGTTTTTTCATTATTTAATGAAACATTTTCCTGCAACGCAATACATTGTTTACAAACTTTCCGACAACAAACATTGATTATACTTTTAAGAGTGACCATACAGAAAAATTTTGTTTGGTGCAGATACCGGAGCTTATTATTGCTTGAAAAACTACACAGTAAAACACTTATTACAATTGACTATATGCATTTGTTTTCATTTTGTGCATTTTTTTATTATAAATATATATAAACAGTAATTTATATCAACCAACAAACAAAAAAGTGTATACGGTCACCTCATGTATGGAACATATGATTATTGTTTTTCAATTACATCTTTCAACTTCTTTCAATTCATTGAATGTGATAGGATTGAAAGAGTCCAAGGGTGATGCCATATTCTTGGTTATACTGAATGTGGTTTTTAGAGAAATGATGAGTTTATCGTCTGTTTAAATTTTTGTTTGTATTTAGATTCTTATCAGCTTACAGACCTAAACAATTAAACGCATTTATTTAAAAACGTTGGCAAATAATTCGTTCTTTATTTAAGAACTTCATCAGTGCTATATAATAACAAACATTAATTTATTTATAAAATATATATAAAAAAATATAAAATATATATATATAATATAATTATATATATAATATACTAACTAAAAGAGAGACATGGATAATTTTAGCACACTTTACTCTAATTTATTGGATAAACATAAGTTAATCAAAAATAAGAGATAAAAGAAAATAAAAGTCAGCTGTTCGGTTTCTACTTATTGAGTAATAAGAGATAAAAAAGAGAACGTTTGTTATTATTATTTTTGGCGGAATATTAACATTAAAAAATTTTTTAGTTTTGTTATGCTAGTTATTTATGTCCAAAAAAATTGTGTATTAAGTTTTAATATGTGAATTTTAACTGTTTTAATTTTTTATTTTAATTTGTTAATTCAATTTTTATTACTAATGACTATTGTGGAACAAAAAAATTACTGCATTTTATAAAAAATAAGGTATATATATATTGATGTTAGTATTTTATATTTAAATTAATGTTTGTTATTATATAGCACTGATGAAGTTCTTAAATAAAGAACGAAATATTTGCCAACATTTTTAAATAAATGCGTTTAACTGTTCGAGTTTTTAGAGAAATCAAATTTTTCTATTATAACTTTTATACCATACATTGTTTTATTATTTTTTTGTTTAATATTTTATTATTTATTTATATAAACATTTACGTCTTCTATAAAACTATAATTCTACAATGAAGAATGTTTATTAAACTTGTTATTCTGACTACGCTCTTCTATTAAAAATGGATAAAGACCTTTTAGAGCATTTCTAATTTTGCTTCCATACTTTATATTAAAAATGTGAACTAATATGGAGTCAATTTATATTTATAATATACTTATTAACTCAAATAAATGAGAATTATAAATGACCTATTGATTTTATTAACACGAATCTTATAAAAGTAAAAGTTAACTATTAACGATGGAATAAAATGAAATTAATATGTCAATAGTTTTGTTATTTAAAAAATAACCAAATAGTTTTGTAAATAATTCGAGCTTTATGAGATGTTACAAGTATTATATATAGTCAATCAACATATTTTTCAGAAACGACATGTAGACTAAAAGGGTTACAAAATATTTTTTTTTAGACCTTATATTTTGTTTACGAAGTTTTGAAATATTAAGCTTCTCATTGTCATCAACAAAAAAAAAAATGAAGAAACAAACAGAATGAAGAAAAAAAAATTCAGACAAGCGTTCCTTTAAAAAAACATAGCGAATCGATTCAATTAAAAAAAAAACTTTCGTTTGTAATAAAAAAACAATTAATTTTTAACTTAGAATTTTTATCTAATAAATTTGTAACAAACTCAAGAGTAAACTCAAGACTCTGAAAAAAATATACGCTGCATTTTACCTATATTGTAATAAATTAGTATTATTTTCAAAAACAACTTGAAAATTTCTAACCTAAAGAATATGTTACAAAAGAATTGTCAAAAGTTAGTTGCTTTAAAAATTTATTAAAATTATTTAAAAGCTAATAGAATATTTTTGAGAATTCAAAATCTCAACTCAATTTACAAATATATGAATGATTAATATATGTATATTTATAAACAAGTTTTAAATATGTAATAAAATTATAACAAATAATAAGTGTTTATGTATGGGACAGTGGCAATTCAGGACCAGACATAAGTATATTCTCATATATTCTCATACTCAGTAAACCGTACTGTGTAGTATATATACTGTTCTAAACAGTAACCAATTGGCTCTTAATAGGCCCCTTGTTATTCCGCGGAGTTAGCAATAGTTTAAGAAACAAGTTAATTTGCGATTGAGAAGAAAGAGCGATGTATATGAGAAATATATAAAAACTTGATTCAGTTGATGATAATTGCTGTACATTTCAATCAGCAATACATCTTATGAACTCTATACAGAGCACATATAATGCAAATATCCTGCTAGCCAACATGTTAAATAAATTATTAGGTTTCTAAGGTTTAAACTCGCAGCAGTTAATACATTTTTCAGTAGTTCAAAATTTGAACTACTTTTAGAAAGCTGAAAAAATATCTTTAAGTCGTTGTGCAAACATGTCTAATTCTTTAAATATTCTGGTAATAAGAAAATATATTCGATGTATACTCTTATTATATATTGTATGAGTTCATTTCTTTATATGAATATTTTTGCAAATTTTTTGAATTCAAGTAGTAAATAACTTATTGCATTTATTTTCAGATTTGTTTTTATTTTGATTGTTAATTTTTTATTTACTTATTAATCAAGAATTTACTTGATTAATAATTAAAAAATTTTTGAATTTGAAAATTTCCCCACCCTTTTCTATATTATTTGAGTTAGAATTCTTATCATAGAACAATTGTTTATATATATTATAATAATAGGCCTTTTCTTTTCAAACATATCACAAAAGAACAACTGTTTTTTTTAAAAATTACATATGAAACAACAACACTTATTTAGGTTGGCTTTTTAGTCCAAGCTATTTGAAATCGCTTAACTAATAAAAATTCGTGGAATGATTTCATTAATTCTTTGTATTGCGTGACGTCATTGTTCGTAACAAATATGTTACTTTTCTATTTATTATTTACTGTTAAAAGGAATGAAAATTCATATTTTATTCACAATTATTTAAAAAAATATATTCCTACCAATAATATATTTCTACCAACAAACAATTATTCATTTTCGAAATTTTGTTTTGCATGTATATATAGGTTAACAAAATTTCCGTTTTGTCCAGAGTTGTCATAAAAGTAATACTTATTTTATTTGTTCTTTTGCGATATGCTTACAAAAGAAAAGGCCTATTGTAAGCATTTGAGTACATAAATACTTTAAATAAAAAAAAAGGGATATAAAAAAATTTATTGCTTAATAAAATATTTATTATAATTAAATAAACAAAAATAATAAATAAATAAATACTTATAGTAATATAATACAGACAAAGATAAAAACTACATAATTAAACTTAAATAATTAATTAATAAGCAATTATATTAAATAATTATATTAATAAATTTTTTAATTTATATAAAATTATTTAATTTAATTACTTTATGTAAATAAATATAATATAAGCATATAAATATTATATAAATAATATAAATAATAAATAAAAATTTATATTAAATTTATTTAATTTAGTAAATGACTATGATTACATTAAATTATTTTATTTTTCAATATTTAATCAGTAGATTTATTCTTATTTGATAGAAATGAATTTAAATAAAATAAAGTTTTCTGTTGAAATAAAATAAAAACAAATATTAAAAATTATTTTTGATGCGCTGCAACAAGTATCTTAAATGTGCTCTCTTCGCTCTAAAAAGAGTTTGAATAACAACATCTGTTGAATCTTTTCTCGTTTCAATCAATCGCTTCAGTGTTATTCAATTTTTCATCATTTCAATGTTGAATCAAAACTGAATGCAAAACACACTTGAAAGGGAATCCTTCAGTTGAATTCAATTTATTCCTGAGCATACAATCTGTATTGAAAATAATTTTACATTTCATTCGAGTTCGAGCGGTCGACGGCAACGGAATTAAACGGAAGATAACGGAATATTCGGTACTTAAAATATTTTAATTTCAAAATATACATGCAATCTATATAGTACATGTGAATGATTTAATTTCAAGTATTCAATTTAAAAAAAAAGTTTTTTCTTCTATTTGATTTGTAGTTTTCGATAACATTTTAAATTGAAATTTATAATCAATCTACTGTATAACGTACATCAACAGGAATAAAGTGTCAATTTTATATATATTTCTTATCAGTGAGAAATAAAATATTTTGTTTATTGTTATTGTATTTTATTGGTTCGTTTGTTTTTGTTGTAATTGATATGTATTGTTTGAATCTATAAATAACGAATAACAACAACACGCGGTCGCAACGTTTATCTCCTTTTCATTGAAATTCAGTTGCATTTTTTGATATTTAAATTTTGGCTTTCGAATTTAATAAAAAAGAATTAAATAAAAAATCAATTCGTTTAAATGCAGTGCAAAACAATAAAATCAAAATAAATAAATTTAATTAAAATACAAATTTCATTATAAAAAATTTTAAAATAAAAGAGATTTTTCTGTGCATTTTTTACCAGCTACAACGCATTTACTTGAACAAAAGAAATGTTAAAGAACGTAAAATTCTTTTATTAATTTTAATTAATTAAAAATATATTTAAACGTAAAATCATATAAAAACAAAAAATAATAAAAAAAAAAACAAAGAACAAAACATAATTATTATAAAAATTCTTTACTATACGAGTACACTATGTGAGATAATTTGGCTAACATTCGTAGATACAGTGAACAAAAATATTTACTTCACATATTGTTTGCTGTGGTACTGTGAGTCTGTTGTAAAAAGAAAGCGAGTAGCTCACAAAACTGCTGGCACCGCAGTCTTTGCATCCTTTGTGGACACCGCGTGCACTGTATTATCTTAGATTATAAATTTGCACCGGAGGCACGTTTCTAATTCAGCAACTTTAACTTCTTAACTCCAGCTTTTTTAAGTGTATTACTTCTTGAACTCGTTTTGCATTTGTGTCTGCTGCTCTGATGGACAATTGAGTTCAATGATGCCTGTTTACTGAATGTATTTCAGATAAAGTATACAATTAGATGCAGCAACTGCTGAACAGTACTTAGAGAATTCCTTCGATCGTCATCATCGAAGAGTTATTTGCCACACTAAAAAGGTACGTACTATCCATATATGCGGTGAACCCATCGCATCATAAGCCATATAAGTGAAGATAATCAATTTTGCGAGACTTTTTCTAATGTAGATTTGTGCGAATATATCTACAGTATTGTCGGTTTATGTGTGCCTTTGGGTCTATATGAATACATAGCACTTTTTAGTGGGAATCGTTTTGGGGAGAACGGTTGAACGCGCATTAATTGAAGTGATTTTTTTTTAAATGCTGACTGTGCAACTTGCCGCAGTTTGTGGCAAGTGTTGAAATTGCTCCTGGGCTTAGCAGACACATTTCTTTATTTTGTTACTTTCTGCTTTGTAATCAAAATTTTCATAAAAACGCTTAGAAAATAATTTAACTTAAAAATATTAAAGATTATATAACATTTTCAAGCAAATTTCATTGAATTTTATGGAAAAAACGCTAAAACGGCCTTGTGCTGGTATTACCACAAAGTTAATTTCAAAAAAATATTAAATACATATCTAATGTGATTAACTTTGGTTATGAATCTGTACGAAAAAAAAACTTATTTATTTAAATATTCTTCTTTGTTTTTTTTATTTATATTTATGTTTTAGAAGGATAATGTATGGAAGCTTATATTCCAACCGCGAATCACAAAGTGCAACGAAAATGAAAGTGAGATATTGGAGTAAACCCTGCAGAAAATCAGTTTCGTTTTGAGTTTTAGATGGGAATGAGATGAGAAGTTGCATTAGCAAATTTACCTAACAGTAAACAAAAAAAAAGTGTTTACAAATATTTTTATTTCATTTAGTACTAAAGTCTTTTTCATTAGAAAGTGAATCAGTGATCATTTAAAAGTAGAATAATACTCTAATTTTTTAGTTATAATTAAGTTTTACATTATTTGTAATAAGATCATTTTTAATTTAACTTAAATTAATTTGATTTTTAATGTAACTTAATGGGTAAATATAGTAGGTGTTTGTTGGAAACGTCCCTTAGGATCCCAAATATTTGTAATATAAATAATTTTGTATAAAAATTAAAATATAATTAAATATTAAGAGTTTAAAAACAGTAATTTTTTATTTTATGTAAACATATATTTTTATAAACTTGTGTTATAAACGACCAAAGCCCAGTAACAGATATAAAAACTAATTGAATATTGGTCGTAATAACTTTTTTTTTGTTTTAATTTTTATTTAAAAACTGTTTAAGTAAAGTTATCCGAAAACAAAGTTAAGTCAAAAGATACCGAATTTTAATGCTAATTAGGCTAATTCTATCCTAATTTATCCTAATGTACTCAAATGAATACGGAAATTATTATGATTTAAAATTAATTTTTAAAAATTTTTTGTTCGTTATCATTTATAAATATCATGTTTCCTTATTTTCAATTTTTTTTATCACGCACTGTTTTCTTGTAAGAAGCTTCTCAAGCAAGCTACCTAGGTATAACTTTTATCAATTTTTTTGTCAGTACGTGGAAATCATCAACGGCTACCATTCTTTTATCATTTCTTTTATGACATGAGTTAAATTCAGTAAATAATTATTTATATATAAATAAATATATATTATATATATTATATTTGTATTAAAGTTCAATTGTTTAGTTGCATGTGGTAGTGATTAGAAGGTCCTTTCGATTTCACCACGAAAGAAATAGAAAAAAAAACAGCTTTCTACCACGGAGACTTTTGTGGCAGAATTGCAAAAATCTTTAAAACGGTCTTTCGTCCGATATCTTAAAGATCTTTCCCTGTTACTTTTTTTAATTTTTTATTAATTAATTTATTAATTTACTTCAGCACTTTTAATCTTTACTAACTGTGAGATTTCTTCATAACCGTTTTCTACGCTTTGACTGGAGTAATGTTAAATACTTCATCTGACTAATCACTGACCTCAAATCTGCATACCTCCCCGGGGAGCCTGTAACCATTCTATTAATATCAATGTTATTAATATTAATGTAATGTAATGACTTACGGCACTGAATACGACCCTGAACCTGAGTTGTACAAACATATATATATTGAAAGTAATACATTTCACAAGTAAATTAATGTGAAATGTAATAAACTATTTAAAATATTTTTTCTTATTTATTTGGGATAAGTAATGTTATTTCACTAAAATATATCAAACGATAATTTGCGTAATTGTGTTAGATTAGAAATATGTCGCATCTGGCTCTGGCCTAAATTATCTGTACAGCTTATTCTAAAAATATTTTTATTACGTTACTTACCATGTAACGATTAGAAATTTTGGGATGCGTTCTCATTGGAAAGTACACATTGAAATCATAAATATAAGTTTGGCTTATTTCTTTCAACAAAATTTGAAGGTTTTGCTAAAACTAAATTTAAGCATTTTGGTTAATTTTTGCTATTATGTGGTTGATGCTTAAATACATAACCTCAAGAAACTTGTTGAATTTTAACTAGAAAGTAGGGTTAAAAATCTATTATTTGTGACCAATTCACTATACATATATTTTCATTTTGGTACTTCAGTGATTCTACCCCTGTAAAATAATTATATGTGCAAAATTTGTTTTTCGTTATTCTCTTCTTAGAATAATGGTACTAATTTTTTTTATATACAGTTGATTCTGTAGTTGAGTTTAACTTCTCTAAACATATATAGAGTTTTTTTTGTATACTATTTGTGGTACAGTTATCATAATTAATAACAATAGGTAGCAAATTTAATAGAAAATAATTATATGTGCAAAATTGTTTTGCTTCTCGAAGTGTCAACAGTAAATGGAAATAAAGTTGTGAAGTGTATTATAAAGTTTTTTTTTTTAAAGTATTGAAGAGTAACGAAGAATTGGTAAGTAAAATACTTATTATTTATTAATAAATATTTATTATTTTAATTAATTTAGATAAAAAATGCCGCGTGGGACGGAATTTTCAAGTGAAGAGTGCGGAAAGATTATTGAAATGAGTCTTGCTGGGATGAAAAGTGGCGAAATATCTGCTGCTGGTTATAGACACCTGAATACTATAATAAACTTTTTAAAAAATCTCGAATACTATGGTGTTATAAGCGAGACGGCCGCTTACCAACTATTAACAACCGAACAAAACGGCATATTCAGCTTCTTGCTACCAATGAGAGGATGAGTTGCAGACAAATAAGAAATGCATTATATTTGTCTATCACTAGGAAATGCGTGCAACAAATTATGAAAAAAGACTTAAAGCTAAAATATGAGTCGAAAGTTCCCAAACCGTGCCTTACACAAAGACATAAAAATGCTTGTTTAGCTTTTTATGACAAAATTAAGTTTTGAGACAAGGAGTTCGAAACAGTTGTTTTCAGTGATGAAAAAAAGTTTAATCTAGATGGTCCAGATGGTCAACATAAATATTGGAGAGATATTCGTCACCCACGTCAGAATTGCAACAAACGCAACCATGGTGGTGGTTCACTAATGGTGTGGGCTGCCTTTAGCTCGAAGGAAAAGTCTAATATATGCTTCGCACTATCAAAAATGAATTCCGAAATATACATAAATCTGTTGGATAGCGAACTGATAAATTTCGCTGAAAATATTCATGGAGATAATTGGACTTTCCAACAGGATAATGCTCCAATACATGTTTCTTGTGCAAAAAGAAATTCTTTGAAGAGAGAAGCATCCCATTGCTAGATTGGCCGGCCATGAGTTCTGACATAAATTCAATAGAGGATCTTTGGTGTATCCTTAGTGCCAATATTTATGCTTATTCGAAGCAATACGACACTCTTAAAGAGCTGAAAAAGGATATACTGGACGAATGGGCCAAAATTGACCTCCTACTATTAAAAAAATTGGTAGATTCAATGCCACTTAGGATACAGTTAATAAAAATAAATAATGGAAACACATTACCTTATTGAAAAATAAAAAAAATTGAATCACATAAAATATTTAATTGTTTTTAGCAAAAAATGTGAATTGCACATATAAATATTTTCTATGAAGATTTAAAATAAAGTTAATTTTTCTCTTAAAAAAAATTAATTTGAATAAAATTTTTTTATTATTTTAATTAGACTACTAAACATAAAAACAAATAATAAACTAAATTCACCCTAACAAAATTTTTTGAAGTTTAAATTAGTTTTTAAGTACTGCACATATAATTATTTTACTGGGGTAGTATCTGTAAAGTTGCAGTTAATTGCGTATCATTTATTACAATCATAAAGAAGAAGTTCCCTCATAAATTTATTAAATATTATTATTAAGATATTTAATTAAAATCACTTGTTAAGTTAAGAAACTTTCATACAGTAAATGGATTACAAAGATTTCTCCCTTGGGTAAGACTTAAACGATTAACAAATTAAAAACACACCAACGTGAATTATTAAAGTGAAGAGAATGCGTATTCCTAATACCTATGACAGAAATCACAACTTCTCAAATTGTTGCTTGAAGTGTTCTAAGGGAATTGAGTCTGTGGCTCCTGTAAGTAACATGCATTGTGGGGTGGGAGTTGTGGAGTTTTTACAAAAGTGAAAATAAAAAATGTAGAAGCATTACACAGATACAGAAGCCATTCACTCGTTTCGCATTCACTTCCTTTTCCGCTTAATAATCTAAATTTGCACGCGTATGCAATTCTGACAACAATTCATGTTTGCTAGCGCAGAGGCAAGTGTGAAAGCGAGTTAGACGGGGAGAGGAGAAGAGGTAAAAGATAGAAATGGACTCAAACTTTTCAAAAAAACATAAAAATCTTTTTCTGCAACTGATTTATTTTTATCTTCTGCTAAGGGATTTGTCTTCGGCGAGATTTTCATATTTTGTTTTCCTTCCCCATTCGAGCATCGAGTGTTAGAAAGGCTGGTTGTGCAATACAGGAGCACAGAAAGTAACGCAAGGGAAATATGGAATACAAGCCACGTTTTGACAACTGCTGGCGGTGTTGCAAAAATGTTAAAAATAAAAATAAAAGATTTAAATGCGAATTAATATTTGTAGTAAAAATATAAGAAAAGAATTTAACAAAAAT